GGCTTCTCAGTGCGTACTTCGACGCTGAGGAAGGAGGCCTGGAGGCTTCCTCCACTGGCATCGGAGACGACTTGGGTGATGGCTTCCGCTGCTTGCTTAGCGGTCGCGAGAGCCGGGACGCCAAACGCGATCAGGGAGCCGGAATCGTAGTAGGCAGATTTGCCGGTCAAGTTCCTACGCTGTTTAGACCCGGTGCGGTCGGTCGCAAACGTAGGGGCCCCCGCGAGCTGAGACTGCACAGTTTCGATGATGAACTGCGCGGCCCGAACTTCGAACTGCTTCATTTCGGTCTCCACCTTTTTGGTAATTATTTCCGGAATATTCTTTTCCAGCGAGTCAACACGAGCAGCCAGCGCATCTGTCTTGCTATGCAAGGAGTCGAAGGACGCCTCGGTCTGTGTAGCATGGGTCTGAAGCAGCTTGTAAATCTCATCTAAAGATGGTTCTTTCTGAGTGGATCGCGTCATGGAGTCGCCTGCTGCCGCCTCCTCAAGGGCAGCGGCCGAAGGCGTAGGGTACTCCTTGCCGGACCTCAGAACCCGCTTAGACGGGCTTTGTGGGCTAATGCCAGCTGTTCTACAGATTCTGGATCGCTGGCAAAGCCAATGCGAGGGGCTTAGCTGTGATGTTGCCAGGGTGGTGTGGTAGGCGTGAACTATTGTAAACTATTGTAAACTATTGTAAACTATGTGTAATATGTAATATGTGTAATATGTGTAATATGTGTAATATGTGTAATATGTGTAATATGTAATATGTTTCGGCCTGGCTCCGGGCAACTGAGTCCCACGGACACTGAGCTACTACTGCCAATCAATTGTCCCTAGCTGTGCTATTACAACGGACGTCAAGGTTTAGGGCCGCAGTGTTGTTTGCATCCTTGTACGGCCTCCACCTGGCAATGTGAGGCCAGCATCACTTACAGCAGCTAGCGTAGCACACACATATCACACGACTGTTTTCCTTCTTGGAGTGCAACATTTGGAGCGGAATACCGCAAGAAGTCGTGGGGGTAAAGGAGCGTGTTGACTGGTTGTTGAGTAGACCTCTACCAGAAGGAGCGATAATAACGGCACTAAGAGAGCGTTTGATGAGCGGCTGGGACCATACGCGTCTGACTGTCTTGCCAGAGGAGTACCCATCAGATGAGAAGCAACCGGGAGTGCAAATGGCGAAGTATAAGCACTGGATGGAGCTGCCCTTTTCGGGAGCCGCAGCCGTCATGTGGCCAACACATGCTAAGGTTTTCATTCCTCGTTTAGCACATCGTAAGCTAATGCAGTTTCGTTTATGTTGCTGGGCTTTGGAGGCGAACAGAGCACGAAGGGGCAAGTACCATGTCCCCAGGGGGCAACGGTTTTGCCGCTGTTGTGGTACTAATAGCCGAATTGAGGATGAAAAACACGTGTTATTGGAATGCCCAGCCTATAATGATATTCGTGCTGAAGAGGGATTCGATCATCAACAGAGTATGTTGGAGGCCATGCAATGGGAACCCGCACGTCTGGCGAGGATGTTGGAACGTATGTGGGCTCACCGAAACTCAATTACCCCCTTTGGACGCTAGTCTGGGCTGATGTGCGGTGTTTTTCCTTTTCTCCGTGGCTTTTAGGCGTTGTAGTATTGCCCTTGGGCCTTCGGCTCGTATGGGTAGTCTTACAGGTATGGGGTCACGCACCCCCAACCATGTAACACACACACACACACACACACACACACACATCACACGCAGACAGAAGAGCACATGCAGCGGGGTCCGACCGGGAACACTTGGCAGACAGCAGGCAGGGCAAGTGGGCACACATATACACACACATGCGGGGAAGCGGGGCAGGGGTAACGGGGTGCGTTCATGTGGGGGTGCGCTGAGGCTGCTGCCCCGCTCGTTGCACTACTACTACGTCGTGCCTTGATTTGTTTTAGTTCGTTGACCTGAACGAGGTAGGTTGATGCAAACTGTGCATCACAGAGAGTAACAGGGTTTGTTTGCATTACATCGTGTGAGCGCAGCATCTGGAGTGGAGTTCGCAGCACTTGAAAGAGCTAGCATAGCTGGCTGGACCAGCGACTTGTATTCAATCGGTGCATGTACGGCAAAAAGGAGATGGTGACCCTGCCGTACAGCAGTGCTACCCCCTACCAGGATCCAAATAGAAACACCTAACTAGCCAGTGGCCAGCCCCATTATTATTAGCTGCGTTACACCCAAAACACATATCGTTAAAAGGTGCCATCTAATTTTTGGGGCATCCTAAGGACAGTATGTGTGCACATGCAGCAGGTCATTATCAACATTATTGTATGAGGCCTATAGATGACAAGCAAGTACTACTGCACCCGCTCCTGCACACGGGTATGAGGCACGTGCAGACCCCATCAGCACGCGGCGCCACACACCAGCAGCCCCAAACACGTGCGAATGTTCCTCTTATTGCGCAAAAAAGCCCATCCGCACGCACACCTTGGTGAAAACGAGCCGTACACTGAAAAGGTAAAATGCTAACCAGGACATACATACAGTTAGGCAGGCGGCTGGCAGAAGTTAAGGCCTGACTTCTGCTCCCAGTCGATCCAGTCGACCCGGGTTCAAATCCGCCTGCCAGCTCCTCGGGTGTTTGAGGAGTGTTGAAATGGGAGGTGGCCCCCCATCATATGGACGGTGTAGGACGTGATAATATCAACTTGCGAGCTGACCAGGAACTAAGTTGATGCGCCGTTGATCCGCTAGATTTGGTTGGATGCTGGTGGTGAGTTGCCGAACCCAACGAATACATTCTGAAGTCGGATGGGGTGACGGATTAGGGTGCCCCTCTAGCAGGGGAGAGCAGGGACTGCCCCGGGAAAGGGGGCCGCTGGCGAAGTTAACCACCCTGTAACAACATACAGTTCAACGTTGGCCATACAATGGATGCTATTCATTTAGACACGTCGGTAGGGTATCGAGCTGCGATCCATTCGCCAGAAGGTGGGGAGTGCCATGCTTGAGACGGCACACGGCTTCCAGGCTTTACTTAGAGGACAGAGGGTATATATGTTCGATGTGTGCTGCGTCGCACGCAGGGTGGCAGCCCCCTAGCTGCGGCACTCGTAACTAAAGATCATATTCCCACAGCATCCAATGAATGGATTAAGATTGGGCATTGTGTTCATTGACATGAATGCCGTGTGCACCGGATTCCAAACCTGCTGTACTGCCGTACGCTATTATGCGGAGACGTCTTTGCCCCTTGCCTGCTGCCTCGCCGTTACAAGACCCCTCCTCACCACGCTAGGACATACACGGTTATATCAGTTGTATGCAGTTATATCAGTTGTGCATCAGTTGTGTATCAGTTGTTTCAGCGTTTCTCTATATCGATGTCATCCACCGCTAACCTAACTCGGATACACGCACTCACACACACACGCGCACCCTAGACATACATACGGACAGACACCGTAAGCTGCGCAACGAACTGGTAGCACTACCCCACCATGAGACACACATACGTACATACATACATACACACAGACTCCGCCATACTGCAACTTGCTCTGCCTCCTCCTCCTTCTCCTTCTCCTCCTCGCTCGCTCGCTCGCTCGCTGCCCAGTCCGGCACACAACTCAACTCACACGACACGGACGGAGAGTCCCACGGGACGGGACGGGAGGAGACGCGGTGGCGCATGGCCCGTGTCTTGGCTTTCCTGGCGTCGCCTGCCGCCGCATTTTCCGTTGCAGGACTCCGACTAGCGGAACACGCACGTTTTCGTGTTCCCGTGTGTCGCATCCTGATGCCCATTCCAAAGATGCCCAACTTATAGAGGCCGACCCGCCTCTCTGCCGACCCACTTTTTGCTGCCGTTGCGGGCGGCGCTCTCCGGCCCTCCATCCATTGGGAGCACGAGATGTCAACGCCTGGAACCCAGTCCCCCCCCCTGGCCCCTCGGGAAGCTACTGGGTCCGCGCGGGCTCGCAGCCGCGACCGTCGGTCCACACGTCCACTCGTATCCAGGTCCGTAACGACACACGATAGATGTACGTCACGATGTAACGTCACGATGTACGTCATCACACGGCACGCAGGTCCACCCCGGCCGTAGAGCTGCCCGATGTCCCTCACTCTTTCCCTCCCTCTGTCACCAATCTTAGAGGCGCGACGTGGAGGCGGTTCACGGAGTAGGTTCATATGCCCCTAGAGCCGCCGGCGTCGTTGGGCCGCCGTCTGCTTGGCACGTGAATCCCCGGGTGCGGGAGAGTGGGGAAGAGGGGAGGGGAAGTCCAGCGGAGGGGAGTGTGTATGTGTGTGCGTGCGTGTATGTGTTAACGGATGGGTATGGCGGGGCATGGCAGGGGAGAATGGCTCGTGCAGCAGGATGAATGCCGTGTCGTTCACGCGCTATTATGGAATGCGTGTGGCACATAGCGGGTTAGGGTTAAGGCCAACAGACGCTTTCCCTCTACAGCAAGCTTCCCTCGGCCAGAGTTGATGTGTGTACATGTTTCCTTAGAGGCGGTGGTGGGACTCCAGATGTAAGGATGCACGGATGT